AAATTTTGTTGCAAGAATTTCGCATTTTCATCATTTCAGTGATAAGGAGAAACAAGTGCAGTTCAATCAAGTGACAAATGCCCTTGATTTACCGAATTATTGACGCACTTTTTGATGTTATGAGACAAATCTTTGGAAAAATGAAACTAATTGCAGGAAATCAATGAAATATTTGAAAAAAAAAGATATATCTTTCTTTGAAGAATTAAAACTTGAATGAAAAATAAATTATCTTCAAAATCAAATTGAAATTATTAGGAACTAGAACTTTAGTTTTATCTTGAGGGATTTTTTTTCTCTGAGAATGCACAGTGGAAGCAAAAAGTTATGAGCTGGAGATAATTGCAGTTACCGGATGTCCCGCCAGACACCGAGCACCCTCTCCCCGCTCCTTACTGTCAAATTTCTCCACTCTTTCTTCTTTTGTATTCAAATTTATGAATATTACGTGGAGACCCGAGGCTATCGCTACCGTATCCTTCCCCAGAAAGGCAATCGTTTTGATTTCTCCGAATTTCACCCATCTGAAAAATAAAACGGGTATAAATTACGGATTTTAATAACGGACGAACGGTTTTATTAATAATTTTTCGAACTTTGTCTCTGCGTTTGGCATTCTACTCGATTTACGAATTTACAGGATAAATTCATTTCGAGTATCAACACAACCAGTCGCATGGAAACGCAAACAATATCGATTTCATTGGAGTCAGCCGGAAATTCTACTTGTGCCTGAGGCTTCCACTCCCATTTTCATAAAATAATAATGGAAGAAATTCACTGCAGTATTCTGATAGGTCAACGTATCAGTATTGACAGGTAAGTTGACGATACGTCTTAGAATTGAAAGCGATAGAAGCTTAAAATTTGCCATGTCTGGAAGATAACATTTATATCTTTAAAGAGGATGTATTCCAAAAAAAACTGGGAAAAAATCGAACATGGTGAAGTGATACCCTAGGTTTACCGCCATTTCTTTCTTTTACTATTTTCGATTGTTGTTCCCGGGTGAAAACAACAATTTGAGAAATATGTCGCATTCGCTTATCGTGTTCATTAACGTCTGTGTCATTTTTTGTCAAAAAATCAAATCAAATAAAATTTTGTTATCATTCATCAATTTTTCAGTAACATTGGTTAAAAATCTTCTATAATAATCTCCAACTCTTTTATCATATCAGTCATATAAACACGTTCTCTATATTTAGTACTCTATGTTTAGTAATTATATTAGGTCTGTACGCCTATCGTCATGAAATCAATCTCAAAATGTGACCAATAATTACTCATTATATGAATAACCCCAATAATTATAATAAAAATAAACCAATAATTACTCATTATATAAATACTCATTATCTTCCATAATTTGTAATATTCCCCTATTTTATGAATTCTTCGAAATGTTCACAATGTTTTTATTTTCGTAATTTTGGTCCCCATCTCGACACTACGATACAAGATTTTTACAATAATTTCCACTCTTCAGTCTCTCACTCTTCTCCCTCACTCGGCAGCTCCATGGGAGGCGAGGGAAAAGAATTGATGTAAGAACTTATTATTTAACATTCCAGTTTGTCCCCAAATTTATTGTCCCGTTTTACCCGGGTCTCCTCTGCGATCTGAAAGAGTAACTCCCCACTTGTCTCGGTGTGGGAACACAACGGAATTAGAATAAATATAAAGTACAAAAAAATGGGATGATAATATGATGAAGACAACGTAACTGTAAATGTAATGACAATATAAAAGTTTTATAAATGTAATAAAAAATCTAATTATCATTGGTCCAATGTTATTCAGAA